GCCTAACTTTTGTCAATAAAAAATATCGATTTATATGTAACTTGGCATGCTCTATCTAATGAGCATAGTGAGATCCACCCGGCCAAAACTTTTGTATAAAGCGGGCGGACCTGCGTGGAAACACCCATATATAAGATCTTGTAAAGACATCTTTTACTGTACACGTTTTTCTTATTTGAATTTTTCTATTGTTGAATATAACATACAGGTAAAACAGTCGATTATAAGGCCGAAAAGGTTTTTTCACTCCGTAACATATCTTGTGATCGTTTTTCTTTGTTTTCAGATAAATATGGCAAATAAGTCTAATAATAGTTCACCTGACACTTCAGATGATGAAGTACGTTACACATCAGCTGACCTAGACCAAAGTTATGCTGATGTATTGGATAGTTCAAGTGATAATGATGATAATAATATATCAAACGGTTCTGGTCTATCTGATGAATCAGATGACGTTACTGAAAGCAATAAGGATGATAATGAAAATTTGAATGCTGATTCAATAACGGATGTTACAAGAGTCGAAACATGGTCTGAAACAACACTTGAACCTAATTTACCTTATTATGATGGTGAACTAAAATTACCACAAAATATAGCATTAGCATTACCATAAAGTCCTTCACCAATCGATATATTTCGTTTATTTCTTACGCCAGAAGTAGTTGGTTACATTGTTGATCAGTCGAATTTATATAGAACACAAAATAATCTAACACGACAAGATCCAATGACTGAATACGATTTTTATTGTTTACTTGGTTTTCTTTATTATTCTTCTACTGTACCGTTACCAAGCAAACCTGATTATTGGTCAAATTTTTCTCGTCAATCGTTCGTTGCAGACAATATCACACGTGATCGTATTGAATATTTATTAAGAATATTACATTTACATGATAATACAATTGAAACAAATAAGTCTGATAAAGTTCAGCCAATATTGGATTTTTTCATTGAACGATGTAAAAAAATTGTAGACGCTGAAAAAAATATTTCTATAGATGAACAGATGATAGGTTATAAAGGAAAAACAGCACCAACTTCATTCAAGCAATATATGCCTAATAAACCGACAAAACGAGGATTTAAGGTATGTGGAGTATCCGGTTTTGTTTATGAAGTAGTTCTATATCGTGGTTCAACAAAATCTGTTTCTTGTACCTCAGCAACACATCCAAATACATCACTAGCACGCTCAACACGTACACTAACAAAAGTAACTACATATAACAATGAAACTTGCGAACAAGTCAGTCAACGTGCACAACAAATAAAAGATTTTGGTATATCAGGGATGGTTGTTTTAGATTTTCTTAAAAATGTACCAATTGGTTCAAGTATATTTGTTAATAATTTCTTTTCATCAGTAAAATTAATCAAAAAAATGACTGAACTCGGTTATGGTATTACCTGTACGTTACGGCCAAATCGTGTTGGTAATTGTCCTATACCAACAGAGCAACAATTGAAAACAAAACAACGCGGTTATTATAAACATTTTGTTTCTGACGATAAACAATGTATGATTGTTGCATGGAAAGATTCCAAAACAGTTTTATTGGGCTCAAACCATGTTGGTATAGAACCAACAATAACATTATCAAGATGGAGTAAACAAAGTAACAGTTATGTTGACGTTTCTGCGCCACAAATTATAAATCAGTATAGTAAACATATGGGAGGTGTAGATACGTTAGATATGCTGGTTTCGCTTCATCCTATACCATTTCGCTCTAAAAAATGGTACATGAGAATTATTTGGCGAGTTTTTGATTTAATGATTATCAATTCATGGATATTGATGAATCGTATTCATGATCATGGCAGTGGTAGTGCAGCTACTGGTAGCAGTCATCGTCATCGAGATTTTCGACTTTTTCATTTCAAAGGTGAAATTGCAAAAATTCTTTTACAACGACCACACATTCAACAAATACAACTTCATTCTTCACAACTCCAAAATCTAGGCGATCGTCGTCGTGCAAGACAATCAGAAGATGAAAGTAATGATGGAAATAGACCACCATCAAAAAAACATCGTGAAATGTCATCACTTGTGCCAGAAATATTACGTTATGATGGTCTAAATCATTTACCAGAATTTGTCCCAGCTCTTAACAATAGTCGATGCAAAAATGAAAAATGTAATGGAAAAACCTATTGGAAATGCCCTAAATGTGACATTCATCTTTGTATATATAACATCTAATAAAAATTGTTTTAGAGAATATCATATTAAAAAATAATCCAACATGGAATCAAGCTTTCAACATTAAGTTTTTTTTGGATACTAGACATTTATTACTTAAATTTTCTGTGAAAAAAGTGCAATGAACTATATGTAATAGTGATTAAAGAATTAAAAAGAAACTCATACTAGTATACTAAGGCAATAAAAGAAGTTCGGAATAACAACGACAAAAAATAAAAAATTCATGCCGTTACACCCGTATGTCCCTTCCAAGGGACATTATGTATCCACGCAGCAAAGCAAAATCATTTCAGTCCAGACATAACAAGGATGTACCGAAGAACTGTAAGCTCCAATGCAGTAGTTATTTCAGCTGCAGCTATAATAAAAGTGTCTTCGGGTGTAAAGGGTTAAGTTAAAGATATTGCTAATGTGCTAGCTACTCTAACAGGCTATTATCACTTTTTGAATAGAGCGTTTTACGAAATTCTTTTAAATTTTTCATGTGGTATCCTTCAGTCCATCTCAGAAATCCAATTCAGAATTCGGTGCTGATCATGAGTATCGCAACCTCACCCTATACAAATACTTCCTCACTGAATGGGGGCAAGAATGAAAAATGGCCCAAAACCCGGCTTTTTGAGTTTTTGACCCTAAGTTCCAACAATGATGGCCTGTTTGACGTCTGAATGATTTGACATGTATGTAATTCGCTGTGCTCTATCCAAATGTGTATAAATCAACTTGATTTGACTGAAACTGGGTCTATCAAATCCGTATAACATGAAGGACTTTCGAGGTTTTTTGATTGTCATTTTGTGAGCTAGCAAAATGATACTTAGAAATCTCTAACCAAAAAGATATTTATACAAAATATGGATTAAGCAGTGCTCTTTCAAATGGTGTGGTTTTCAAGTCTAAATTTAATGTACTAAGCCCTCATATTAAGACCACAATCTGAAAAGAACCGTTTTTAACAGTTCAGGAGGGTCTCTGGATTTTGTTGACTTTTTTTTCAAGTGAATCAACTATTTTAATACAGCTATACATCCATTCAGTCAATTATCAGCCTCACTAAGTATAAAACAATGAATATCACATTCCTAATATGTCGTGTGTTTCGTTGCTATCTATTTTTGCGAGATATCAGGCATACCTCTAAAAACTTGGTCACAACGATTTCGATTTTATTCAAAATCTAGCGTCATAAAACTGACTAACCCTGAAATAATTAAAAAGCTCAATTGACATCAGAGAATAGAATTCTCTTTTCAATCAGTCCGAAGCATTTTTTGACTATTCCTTATGATTACGTTATTTAAATAGAACGAGAAAAACCGTTACTAAGCAGTCTCTGTATTCAATATGGCGGACAGAAGTTTAAGGGCTATTTCATAGTTTCGTATCGTTTTTTCAAGAACAATTAAATCTTTCCTACCTTATGTGGTGAGTGCGTAGGACATAGTACCGATTTTAAATAATATTCAAAAGGTTTTCGGTATAAGGTTCAATCGCTTTGGAATTCAATGAGGAGTTTCGTAAAAGCATTATAAAATTAAGACGTTGCATAGCTCAGTGAGGTAGGAACTTCAATGTAAGGTTATATCATTTAATGGACCGCAGAGAAATAATGTGCTGCTTTTGTCTTCAATTGGATGTGACGTTGCTGTTTGAATGGCGGAATAATGACCGTATTCACGTTGTAGATTCGATACAAGAGATTTTGAGCATTTTCCGAATCAATCGTACCCGTTAGACCATAGATTTGATTTTTGTATCGACTAAAGAGACCAACATTCGATGGTTAGTTCGTTGTTACCGTGAGAGCAGTCATTTTCGGGCCGTGTTTGATCTGAAGAAATTGGTACAGACCATCGCTCCACGTCGTACTGCCTTGAACGACGCCGGTATTGGAAAAGTTGACGGGCATGATCCGTTTCGTTTGAGTTTCATCAGGCTTAATCATGTAGTGATGATCGAGGCGATATTCGATTTTGGCTCGACTGGCGTGATCAATCCATGTCGGAATCGAATCGAGAGCGAACCGATATAGATGAGTGGATATTTCATTTCATATCTCAGATCAGTTAGAAGACCTTTGATATTCTGAACGATTGAGCTTCGTTTTGACAACGGATCCGAATCGGCATTCACAATTCGCCAGATGTCGCAGGACAACGGATTGAGCCATTCTATACCAGGTAGTTGATGGGCTAGACGAGTAATCGTATTGTTCTCATCGATGAGTATACTGTCCACCTTGTCAATGATCACTACATCACAACGATGTTTCGGATACGTTGTGTAATATTCGAAAACGTCGAGCCATTTTAATCATTTGCGAAACGTGGCTTGACACAAAGGCAATCGCTAAACAATTGCAACGAGCCGATCGGACTTGTTCCATTCGAATGTATACGGGCAATACCGATGCTGTCCAACCGGATGCCGTTTTTTGTTTTTTTTGTTTATATCTTTATTGATACTTTTCAAATGCAACGGATGCCGTTGGCAATCGTATTCAGTCGAACCGAATTGCGATCCAATCGATGTGATACGCGAAAGCCGAGCACGCCCATTTGCATCGAATTTGGACCGAAGAAATCGGAGAAATTGAATTGAAAGATAACTCAAACAATTCTGTGAACTTTTCGGCCGATTACGAAAGAAGAACGACGATGTCTATCGTTTGGTCAGCGCCAAAGAACGATGGTGTCTAGTTACACTGAAAAAATCAGGAACTCTCAGTCGACATAGGACTCATGCGATATTAGCTTTCATGCAGTCACCTCGGGTGAAAAAAGTACATATTGTGAAAGCAAGATGTCCGTAGTGTTACATCAGGATGCATAAAAATACTACCAAAATACTCCCCGTGTCGAGCTGTATTGATCTATATCTATTTCAGAACTGTAGGTTGAAAAAAGTCAGTGGGCGGATTTGTGGTCTTATGTGGCCGCGTCCTTTGCGACTATGTTGTGCTCCCTACACTGTTGTTCCGCTTTCGCTTGGCGTCTGTGCAGTGCCTTATATTTTAGAGTGCATCATTTTATTCTTCTTGTTGTTCATCCTCACACTTTTTTCCTTCTTTCCCTCTTATTTTTATTTTTATTTTTTCTTGCTGTTTACCTGTGATAGCTTATAACATTTACCATGTCATTTTCCTCTGATATAATGGCCTAGGCCGCATCTGTGTAAAGTGACTACTCTTATTTCTCTTTCTTGAATAATAAAGTTTAAACAAAACTAATGTATTGATTGTGCTGTTTAGATTTATCCAGTGCATTATGAATATCGAAAAAATCATTTTGTCACGTCTAATTCAATCAAGAATGATGATATTATTATCTTTCCGGACGAAACAGCCTATGATAATGAGATATTCGTCGATTTTGAAACACATTTTTATATTCCCACATAACGTTCAATGGTTTTACAAACGCATTTAACGAAAAAATCGAAAAATTAATTAAAAGGAAAAGCGAACGCTTAACTCAGCAGCGACAAAATAGATCAAATAATGATTTTACTTCAAAGTTTGTCATTTGCCTTTTTATTCTGTCACTTTCGCTCCCATCCGTATGGAAAATTCGATATCAGGATTAGGGATGTTCGGTTCTCGGTTCTCGCTAAGAACCGGAACCGCGGTTCTCTTGTTTTCGGTTCTTCAGCTGGAACCGGAACCGCGATTCTCTTATTTTCGGTTCTTCATCGGGAACCGGAACCGCGGTTCTATAGACGGTTCTTTTTATTTGGAACC